AATTAGTCTATAGAGTTTCCTAGAATGGAGGCTCCATGAAAGCCAGCACACAGGCGCTTATAAAGTTAGAGACCAGGCTACCATTTCCAGCACTCCTTAAGCTAATGAAACAGGCTTCTGAACCAGTGTAGTGGTTTGAAAGAAAATGGCCTCCAAAGAGAGTGTCACTATTAGGAGTTGTGGCCTTGTTGGAGGAAGTGTGTCACTATGGGGCTTCTTTTGCTCAAGTTTCCCTCAGTGTGATTGTCAGTTGACTTCCTGTTGCCTGAATGATGTAGGATTCTTAGCTATTCCTCCTGCACCATGTCTTCCTGCATGCCGCCATGCTACCCACCATGCTCCTGGCCATGATGATAATAGACTGAACCTCTGAAACTAGAAGTGAACCCCCCAATTAAATGTTTTCCTTGTAAGAGTTGCTATGGTCATGGTGTCTCTTCACAGCAATAAAATCCTAACTAAGACAACCAGCTTCCAACACTGCTTCCATTCTCCCTTCTTGTATTAGATTTTTAGAGCTGAATTCCAAGTAGCTGGGTAGCTTAAAATCTCAGAAAGGTCTCCCCTAACAGTTCTGGAGCTGAGAAATCTCAACCCCAAATGTCCCATCTTTTAGGGGACAGAGGAAGGACATAATTCAACCTATGATGTCCTCTTACAGGCAGCTCTCTGTAGGTCTGCTCCAGTGAACTTTAAAAACAAACAGATTCTTTTAGTAGTTATTTATTGATGTATGCACAGGAGCCGTGGTGTGCATGTGGAGGTCAGAGAACAATGTCATTTCTTTCCTTCCACTCTGTGGGTCCTGGGGATGGAACTCAGATGGTCAGGTTTGACAGCAATATCCCTTATTACTACCAGTAAACTTTAAAAACTATGAAATGAGCCCTAGAAATATGGTTCAGCTTGTAATGAGCACTGTACAAGGCTTTTTTTCTTTGGGTTGCCAGCTCACAAAAGAACTGACATGGAGACTTATTATTAATTATGACAGCTCGGCCCATAGCTTAGGCTTGTCCCACTAGCTCTTACAACTTAAATTGACCCATATTTAAAAATCTACGTTCTCTTACACAGCTCAGTTACCTTTATTCTGTACTACCCATCCTGCTTTCTCCTTGTCTGGCTGGTGACTCCATCTTTCTTTTTACCAGAGCTGTTTCTGTCTGGAAGTCTCTGCTATACTTCCTGCATAGATATTGGCCATTTAGCTTTCTATTAAATCAATAGATTCGCACAGTGTAAAGTAATACTCTGCAACAGGCCACTTACTGCCAAGCCTGATGACCTGAGTTTAAACTCTGGAAGCAACACGGTGGAAGGAGAGAACCAACTCCTGCAAATTGTCCTCTGAAGTCTGCACGTGTGCTGTAGCATGCATATACTCCTCACCTACTAACCACACACACACACACACACACACACACACACACACACACACACACACACACACACACAGTCTCCCTCTCCCCTCTCTCTCTCATACTTTCTCTCTCTCCCTGTTCCCTCTCTCCCTACACAAACACACACACACACACACACACACACACAGTCTCCCTCTCCCCTCTCTCTCTCATACTCTCTCTCTCCCTGTTCCCTCTCTCCCTACACAAACACACACACACACACACACACACACACACACACACACAGTCTCCCTCTCCCCTCTCTCTCTCATACTCTCTCTCTCCCTGTTCCCTCTCTCCCTACACAAACACACACACACACACACACACACACACACACACACACACAGAGAGAGAGAGAGAGAGAGAGAGAGAGAGAGAGAGAGAGAGAGAGAGAGAGAGAGAGAGAGAGAGAGTCACTCCAGTCACTCCCTGGGCCTACAGAAGTGCTTCAGCAGTTAAAAGCACCTGAAGCTCTTGTAGAAGACCCACATGGAGGTCAACAACTGTCTGTAACTCCGGTTCCAGGGCATCCAGGGGTTCCAGGGCTTCTCTCAGGTACCGCACACATGTGGTACAAAGACACACATGCAGGAAAAACATATGTACACATAAAATAAATCACCAGTGACTTTCCAGGCTTCCCATCTTGTATAATAAAATGCAAAGCAAGGCCATCATGCCCCCCTCCCTCTGGTCCCTGAATTGTCTCTCCACCTCTCCCTACTCCAGGCTGTGTCAGCGTTCTGTACCATCCAGAGAATAACCTACAGTAACTACACTTTTGGTTTTAAGTGAATGAGTTTATTAAGTATATAGCAAGTAAAAGAACCAATAACAAGCAGCAGATAGGTAAGCAGACCCCATCAAATTTTCGAGCTCATGACATCCAGCAGAGATGACTAGTAGCTGATTGAGAGAGCTAACAAAGGAAATTATCACCAAGTCAGAGGCTTGCAAACACGAAGCAGAAGTCAATTGGGGAAGTTGAGGCAGTTATCTGGAGTTTCTTTTTTTTACAATATATTTAAAATTAAAATATAATCACACCATTTCCTCTTCCTCCCCCCCCATCTTTCCCATATCCCCTGTTTAAAAACTGAAAACAGACTCTTTTTTCATACAAAACAGCCAACCACAGTTTCCCTCCCTTCACTCCACACCTCAGCTGGAGTTTCTAATTGAGCTTTCCTGTTCCCACTGCAGGCTTCTTTGTGTCACGGACTAAGCACTGTTGGGAACGGTTTGCCTCCCGACTGTTCCCGGGGAACACTGTTTTTATTCTTGGGCTGTCTCGCTGTTCTCTTCTTGCCATCCCACCCCAGACAAGGGTCTTAGAGGACACCATGAGACACTCGTCCTTGAGTCTGGAAATGGAGTTGGAGGACAAAGCTTCCAGAGCCGGGTTCCCAGTGAGTTTAGGCAGCACAAGATACTTTACCAATATAGTGTGGATTGCAGCCAGCCATACTGTCTTTCAATGTCCAAACCACTTCACTATCCTTCCCCATTCAGAGTCTTTGCTCTTTTTCTTTTCCTGGAATGTGCTTCCACCAAAGGTCAGCCTGGTTCTCTTTCTCACTTCCCTCAAGCCTTTCCACTCAGCATCACCTGACCGTAAAGACAAGTGAGTTGGCTCCGGGTTCTTCTCTGTTCCTCATCGGTTTTCTTTACAATTTTCTGTGCATTGGTGTTTTGCCTGCATGGATGTCTGTGTGAGGGTGTCCGGTCCCCTAAACTGGAATTACAGACAGCTGTGAGCCGACATCTGGGTGCTGGGAATTGAGCCCAGTCCTTTGGAAGAGGTGTCAGTGTTCTTAATGACTGAACAATCTCTCCAGCCTCATCAGTTCTCTTTACAGTGTGACGTATCACATGGTCTTTTCTCATTTGTTAGTTATGCATTATGTTCTCCCCACTGTGCTGTAAGCCCGGGAAGGGCAGTGATTTTGCTGTTACTATTGTTCTGTCTTGCTAGAAATGAGCCATATGTCTTGCACATGCTGGAAAAGAATTTTATCATTGATCTATACTCACAGCTCATATTATACATGGATATATGTAAACACACATATACATACTTACATACATACATACATACCTACATGGCAAGGTCTCACGCATCCTAGGCTGACCTCAAACTCAGTATGCAATCTAGGATGACCCTGTACTTCTGATCCGTTTGTCTTCACCTCTCAAGTGCGGGGAAGACAGATGTATGCCATGCCACGCGCTTTATTCAGTCCTGGGATGGAACCCAGGGCTTTGTGCATACAAGGCAACTACTCCACCAGCTGAGCTACAGCCCAGCCTTCACGCACATATTTTAAAATGTACATTGTAGTTAAATGAGCACTCACTTTTCAAGAGTTATACACTAGCTCTTCTTGTATCCCACCACAGTTTAATCAACCAATTCTCTATCGGAAAAAAACCCCACATTCCTTTTCATCCCTTGCTTTTACCAACCCGAGACACGAGGCAGAAATTTTGTTTCTTTAGCAGAGCTGGGGGTGGATCCCAGGGCTTTGGACAACTGTGGCGAACACTTAGTTCCTATACTACATGCACTTCTGTCCCTGTTTTCTTGTCACGGTGTTTTTCTAGGTTCTCTATGTAGTTCAGGTTGGTGTTGAATTCACCAAGCAAAACTTGACCTACGATCCGCCTGCCTCACACTCCAGAGTGCCCGGTTTCCAAGTGGGCACCCCACACCTAATTCAGAGCGTCATCGTCATCGTCTTCATCGTCATCCTCATCACCATCATCATCATGCAGGGTATCATGAAGCTCAGACTGGCCTTGAACTTCTGAACCGGCTCCCTTTGTCTCCCAAATGCCGGGGTTACTGGCATGCATCACCACGCCCAGTTCTGTGGAGTACTGGGCACTTTAATGTGCTCAGGGGTGGAGCCCAGTGCCAGGCAAGCACTCTACCAACTGGGCTGCATCACCAACCCAAATTCTGATTTTTAAAATTCTGTACTTAACGCCTTAGAGTATTAACATTTTCTTTCAGAGTGCATTGTCAATGAACAGTTACAGAAAAATCCAATTAACAACTGAACCAGGACCAACTCGTTTATTATTATTTTTAAGATCTATTATTATGTGTGTCTGTGTGGGGGTACATGCATACAGGTGCCCACGAGGACGAGGTCAGAAAGCCCTGGATCAGAATCCCCTAGAACTGAACTTACAGGCTGTTGAGGGTGCCAGATGTGGGTGCTGGATCCCGAACTCAGGTCCTCTGAAAGAGCAGCAAGCACTCTTACACTCTGTCTGAGTCATCCCTGTATCCCCTCATGTTTTGTTTGCTGGACTCCTGATCTTCCTGCCTTCACCTCCCAAATACTGAAATTGTTGGCATGCGTCTAGCTGAGGAGACTAATAGATAGGGGGGAAAAACGGCGAAGGAACCTACAATGAAAGAGAAAAGGCATACTAGAAAGCGAATCGACATCAGGGCGACTGACGGCTGTGCCCCACCTTACCACCAGGTGGCACTGTCGGCGGCGGGCGCTCGGATCCGCCGGGCCGCGCCGCTCTTGCCGTGCGCTTCCGAGGCTGCGCTGGGCCAGGCGTGGGGGGTGGGTAGGGCGAGTCATATGACCCGCTGGGTTTCCTGGCTCTGGCCGTCGCTGCCTTCCGCCTGTGTCCGCCCGAGTCGCGCCGGGGGGCCCGCCGAGGAGCCGTTAGTGGCTTCGGGGCCGATTGCCGCTCGTGGGAAGCAGTGACCGCCTTCGTCCGCACCCGTCCGCGCTCGCTCCCGGCCGCCGCCATGCTGGCGCTCATCTCCCGCCTGCTGGACTGGTTCCGCTCGCTCTTCTGGAAGGAGGAGATGGAACTGACCCTCGTGGGGCTGCAGTATTCGGGCAAGACCACTTTCGTCAATGTCATCGCGGTGAGCAGTCGTCTGCGGGCGACCCGGCCGCCGTCCCGGGCTTGTCACCTGCCCGAGGGCCGGGCCGGGCCGTGCGACCCTGCGCGTGTGGGCCTGGGAGATTGGAGCCGGCGGCTCAGCAGCCCGAGGGGCCATTCCACTCCGCGTCGTGGTGGGGGCTGTGCCTTTAAGGCGGCTCGGAAAAGGTTAATCCGAGCCTGTCCCAGTTGCGGCCTTGGGGCCGTGGAAGCTGAAGAGTTAACTCCAACCTGTCACTTGCTCACCCGGACGGGCTAGTCCGGCCTTCTCTAGAACGTCTGCGGGGGGGTGGGGTTGGGTGGGGTGGGGGGAGAGCCACTCTGAAATCTCCACTTGGGACGCAGGAGTCCCATTGTGAAAGCAGGCGACCCGTGTGGGCGCCTCCGTGGAATGCCAGGGGCAGCCTTGGCGCCTCCAGTCCGCTTGGTCTTTGTCGCTTGTCCATGGAGAGTCGAAGATGAAGGAAGCTGCTGGCCTCGCTCACTGGGGGACGCGGTTGGAGAGACCATTCAGTCCCCAGTATTTATTCAGGCAAGGAGTAAGGGCGAGGCGAGTTTCTGTTTTCCCAGAGTTGTGTTAAGCGAGTAGATAGAGGGAGCTGCGTTCAACATAAAGTTAAGTGTCCTGCACGATTTGGTCTTCAGATTTTTTTTTTTTCCCCTCTTGGAGAAGGAATTTGTTTGAATTGGGACGTAGCTTATGCACACTCGGGGAAATGGGCTTGAGAACTTAAATATAATGTGGTGGCTAATTCAGTGGGAGAGTGGTTGTTGAGATTTTGCTGTTCTGATTGGTTGGGAAAGGAATGGGAGGGGGTAATTTCTTGTCAGTGCATCGAGGCTAGTCTTAGGGCTGTACTTAGAGGGTTGAGCTGCACATTTGGAGAGAAGTGGTGGTGGCAGTTCTCATTCCTGGGAGAGGATTGTTGCAGTGTAGACAGCTGAGCTGTCTGACTGGTTTGGCCACAGGAATGATTCAGATACAGCGCCATGTGAGAAACTAGGCAATTTGTGACTCAGTTTGTGTAGTAATAGAGCAACAGGCGTGAACAGGACCTGTAGAAAGAGGAGCAGAAACCCCGAACTTCTTTTGGAAAAGGCTAAGTATAATTATAAAGAAAATTGTCTGCTTCATGTTTGGTGCCTTGTGTATTTGCACCCCCCCCATAGGTGTCCAATACCTAGAGAATAAGTAAAACAGACTTTTTTTTTTTGGTTTTTAGAGACAGGGTTTCTCTGTATTGCTTTGGAGCCTGCCCTGGCACTCACTCTGTAGACCAGGCTGGCCTCAGACGCGCAGTGATCCACCTACCTCTGCCTCCTGTGCCTCCCGAGTGCTGGGATTAAAGGCTTGAGCCACCAATGCCTGGCATGGCAGAGCAGACTTTATGCTCGCTTTCACATTAGAGCTTTTCTGTAGCCTTCAAGGTGTTTACTTTCTGTTATTTACCTGAGATAAGAATTGGAGTTCCCTTGGAGATCCCATCTCTTGGACACGATTGAATTGGGGACATGTGGGTGTGTCAGCATGGTCACTTGTATTTGCTATAGAGAAATGAATGTAGGAACCCGCACCACTGAATAGCATTACTGCGTACTCTCATGCTTCTGTCATCACTAGACAGTGTAGCTTAGTGTAGCAAGTTTGAACTGTATGCCACAAAGACCTGCGTTTAAAACCTGGATCTGCCTCTTAGCAGCTTTGGATCCTCTTTGAGTTGACTGTAGTTATCTTACCTATTAAATGCAGATAACAATATATTTCTTAACCGAATTGCTCTAAGGGCTAACTAGAAGTAGGGAAGTAATAGCTTGTTAATATTTGTGGTGGCTGTACTATTTAATGCAGACACAAGAAATATATTGAGAAAGGAATCAGCAGGGATCATCAGTCATAGATTTCTGGTTTGTGGGAATAAAGCACCCGATGCCTCCCTTTTGCATTGGATTTTTTAACAGTTGTCAAATGTCTGCTGTTGAGTTTAGTGACCTTCTGTTATCAATCAATGGTAAAGTATTATTTTTGAATTACGGTGTAGATAGCCTCCTAAAAAAGAAATTCCCACCAAAGAGGCTATGTTTAACTTACTTTAATCATTCCAAATTCTATATATAATAAAACATTATGTAATGTGAAACACACACACATATATAAATACACACAAATGTAATTATGATCTGTCAATTAAAATGCTAATGTTCTAGACGTGGTGATGCTTACTTGTAGTTCCAGCATTAACAGGCAGAGGCAGGATGATTGCTACAACTTTGAGGGTCAGCTTGATCTGTGTCTACTATAACAACCAGACCAACCATGGCTACACAGTAAGGACCCCCACACACACACAAAGAACAAAAATAATTTAAGAAACGAAGAAACAGTCTAGACTGTAAGTTTAAAATGCTGAGAAGGGGCTGGCTCCTTAGACACGAGCTTGTGTCTGTCTTTCACAAGTCTTTGTTCTTTTGAGGCAGGGTTGCACCTGGTGGTCCAGACAGTCCCTGACCTCACTAAGTAGTTCAAGCTGGCCTTGAACACGTGGTCATTCTCCTGTTCAACTCTCCCAGGTGCTGGGATTGTAAAATATAATTTAAATTGCAGTACATCTACCTAAGAATTTGAGGACAATTTAATTAATGTCACCCAGTTTCCAAAGTTTGTGAAGCTGAGTTTCTTTCAGTTCTTGGTCCAATCCCCAAAAGTTGGGCTGCTCAAGACTAGAGATACTCAGTTTTTCTCCTGCTTTTAAACTTTGGTTATTAAGAGACAGAGGTACTGGCTCTTCTCATTTGTTCTAGATTTTATTGAAGGAAACAGCCCTAGACTTTTCTAATGTTAGAAATGAAATACTGTCCAATTACTCTGTTAACGGTGGTGTAGTTATTGCATAATCAGTCATATGTCCTATATGTGTAATGTATTGTTGAGTAATCATTTACTGGGACACTTAGATGGGTCATAACATAATTAATAAGAAACATATAATTGAATTTGCCAAAATATTATAGGGTAAACTGTTGTAAGCATTATGTATTTTAAAAGTGGATAGTGCCATAAAAATTTGTGTATAGTTCTGCAAATTGTGATTAATTGAAAAGGTTAATCCATGGATAAATTTATTACTGCTGAGAATTAAGAAAAGAACGTAGTAAGACTGAGGAAGCCTAAATCTAGAGTGCTTTGTTTTGAGATGAGCCTTGGGTGAGTCTCAGACTGGCCTCCATTCTTCTCTCTCAGCTTCTGGTGTGGTAGCATCACAGGCCTGGAACACCACACCTTCCTTAGTTGACTGAGAGTTTGTAGAAACTTTTAAGTCATCTGTTTTACCTTTGTCCTCAAAGATGTGGCTAGGAAAGCCACATAGGCCAAGGGTTTCATTGAAAAAGCTGACAGTAACTGACAGTAGAATCAGGGCTTAAGCCAATGTAGTTTTTACTTTTCTCATCTCCTCTTTAGATCTGCCTTAGATTAGGACCATAGAATAGAGAACTGGGAGGAGATCTTGACCCTTTACAAATCTTTTTCTAAGCGTAGTGGTGGGGCACGCCTTTAGTCCCAGCACTCAGGAGGCTGAGGCAGGTGGATCTCTATGAGTTCAAGGCCAACCTGGTCTGCAAAGTGAATTCCAGGACAGCTGGGACTGTAACATAGAGAAGCCTTGTCTCAAAAAAATTTTTTTTCTGGGACTTGAAAGATGGCTAAGCCATTGCTGTTCTTCCAGAGGACTTGAATACAGCCCCAGTGCCCATGTCAGGAACCTCACAACTGCCTGTAAATCCAGCTCCATGGAGCCAAACTCCAGCTGCTGGCCTCTGAGAACACTGACTCACACAAACATATATTTTAAAAGTGGATAGTGTATCGTTCTGCAAATTGTGGTTGAGTTATGTGTGACTGTGTGGCATTGGCACATAGACACACACTTATACACATAATTAAAACAATCTTTCCCTATATAGAGAGTATAGGGATACTTTGATTTCCTGTGCTGATTTCCTTTATTATTTATGTGGTGGTACTAGGGATTGACCCCAGGGGTTTTGTACAGTGCTAGACGATACTCATCAATCTACTGCATCCCGAACCTCCAATCTAGTCATCAAATAGTGACATAAATTAGGAGAAAACATTTCTTTATGGAAGGTGTGGACAGTGGAAAGTTATGGATACTTACATAGCTAGCTGAGAGTACACATTGCTATTGAGCTACCTTTAACATTCAAGGCACAAATAATTTTGACTTCTTTTTATAGACAAGTTGACACTGTATCCATGCTGACCTCGACTCCCCTTATAGTCCAGGCTGGCCTCAAACTATTAAAAACCCTTCTGCTTTCTGAATCTTGGGGTACAGATGTGTACAATCATGCTTGGCTTTAATCTTGAGTTTTGTAACATGACTTATTTAATTAATTTGGGATAATAATGGTAAAACCAATTTAAAAAGTGTGCTGTGCCTTACGTTTGGATATTTAACAGATCTAAACTCCACTGGAGTGAGTGGGTGGCTAGTCTTCTGTGAGTGTGTCTTAGGTTCCTTCATAGTTACAGAGCCTGGGGCGTGCTGCCATGGAGCAGCTCTTCAGGGGTCTTTGCCTCCATCCATTCTCCTATCATTGTTCTGTGTTATCTAAGAGTCTTGAAAGCCTGATGTTCTCATTAAAAATCCATTGTAGATGACTGTGTTTAGAGCCTTTCACAACTTAATGAATTCCCCAAGTTTCTTACAGCTTGTCACTGAACATGGAGATAGAAGTAAACTGTGCCTATATAGTATATAAATTTCAGTTTTGGAAGCCCTAGAGAGCTTTGCTGATTACTTTTTAAGGAAAATTTATTTATGCATGTGTTTGTTTATATGCACATATGTGTTCGCCAGTGAGTTGGGCACAGGGTTGTTACCGGGGTGCTGGGATCTGAACTCTGGTCGTCTTGACTACATGCCATTGAGCCATCTCTGCAGCCCTGTTTCTTGAGGTTAA